ATAATAATAATAATAATAATAAAATAAATAAAAAAAAAAGAAGATCTATATAATATAAATATTATAAGAAGTTTTAAGTTATAATAAATACCTTATATAATTAGAACCTCCTAGGCTTATAACTATAAAGTATTAATATAGTTATATAAGATAGTAGTATAACTAATATAGCTTATAAAGGAATAATAGAAAGTAAAGATAATAAGGAAAATTAGCCTTATATTAGATAAAGCTATAAGGGATAACTAGTTAATTTATATATCTTATTTCTTAGCCTTAGGCTATATAATTTAAGTTATAAGATAACGCTATGTCTTAGGATACCTAAGGTTATTGCTTATCTACGCTTATTGTTGGTGTGGATAAGATAAGCTCTCTTATCGAGGCAGTGCTCTGTGCGATAGCCTCGTCCCCCGGTATCAGCATTCCGCCTTTTTTTTTCTTATCCCGTTTGAATGGACCATTGTGCCGTGAGATATTACTACAAGACAAACCACCAAAGCCCACTCTCGTCAAATCATGTATTCCTCTCACTTTCGCCCTTGCTTTCTTCCCTATCCGTTCCTTTTCTCTCCTTTGCGTAACGTACTCGGTGCCGCTACGCCCCCGCACTAGCTTCCTGTGCCTGGACTAGAGACGAGACAAACATCCATCCGTCCGTCAAAAACTGGTGCTAACGTTTGTTCACCATCCACCACATGGTTCAGGCCGCCCAGCGCCCGCATCACATGTGTCGCCAAACAACCAAGCAAACCCTGCTCAATTGAACATTGGAAGACAGCCGCCGACTCAAAAATCTCGCCGTCGCCAAAAAAAAACCCTTCCAACGTGCGTTTGTCTTGCCAACGACAGAAAAATCCTCACCCACCAAACTCACCATGGCCCCCGCCGTGACGCACATCACGCCGCCCGACCTCTCGACGCTCCTCACGCCCATCCTCCCCGCGCTGGTCCCCGCGGCCGCCTCCTCCGCCCCGGCGCCGGGCATCCTGCCCTTCCTCGCGCCCATTCTGCGGCAGCGCGTGCAGATCCTCTCGTCCGCCTCGCAGGAGCCCTGGCTGCGGCTGCTCTGCTGCGACCCGGCCAGGGCCCCGCGGCTCGCCGAGACCGTCGCCGCCGCCGCCCGCCTCTTTGAGCCGCACCCCGTGTCCGGCGAGGTCGAGGTCGACTGGGCCTGCGACGCCGCCGCCCGCTTCCGCCGCCTCGACCGCGAGACCCTGCAAGGCCTCGTCGTGCTCGCCCAGACGGGCCTGACGTTTCGCCTCGTCTACTGCGTCGACGACCCCGACGGGAACCCCGACGGCTGGCGCATCGCCGAGGTCACCGTCGCCGACACCAACGCGCCCTTTGCCGACTTTGGCGGCGCTGCCGCCACTGCAAAGTCCATCCCTGAGGCGGAGCGCCTCTTCCACCAGACGGCCAAGCCTGCGCCCACCCCCGCGGCGCCTACGCAAGCCAACAACGACGATGACGATGATGATGATGGCTACTGGGACCGCTACGACGCGACGCCCGCGCGCACGCCGGCTAATAACCGCTCCCCCGCGCCGCCGCCCGCCAACGGCCGCACCGGCCTCCGCTACGGCCAGCCCACCGCGCCCGCCACGGACAAGGACGAAGACGACTACTACGCGCAGTACGACGACGTGCAGCCCGCCATGGATGGCCACGACCCCGACGAGGCGGCCCACGCCGCGCAGCTCGATCCGCCTGCGACCGGTCTCGCCCCGCTCGCCGCGCAGCCGCCGCCGCAGGAGGGCGGTCCTGTGCGCAGCCGCACCAGCTCCGAGGAGCGTCTCCTACTGCAGCACCCGCGGCCCGCGTCGAGCGCGTCGTCGCACGGCTCGCACACCGTCGCCAAGCTGGAAGCGGCGGCGGCGGCGACGACCGCCGGCATGCAGGAGCTGTCCGAGTTTGGCGTCCGGCAGCACGTGTCCCGCAGCATCCGCAGCCTGTTCCAGCTCTCCCGCAGCATGGGCATTGGCCGCGAGGAGTTTGAGCAGATGGTCAAGACGGAGCTTGACGTGCTGGGCATGATGGAGGAGTAGAAGATGGCGGTGTGGTGCCTGCTTGAAGCGAGACGGAGCAGGACAAACAAGATCTCTTGATTGTGGTACTATTGTGGTCATTATTGGCGTCGTTTTGTTCTTCTACCCTTGGATTGCTATTTTCTGCATTTATGCATTTGTCTGGAGTTGGCGTACTGCATTCGGCATATCTGGGTCTTTAATTGGGGTTTACACTAGCTTGATTCCCGCGGACATCCCTTTACATTGGCAACACTATATATGGCATACATTCACATAAAACTCTACTATACTTTATATGTTCGTTTGCAGGGACTTTGATGTCCTTCTGGGGTGTGTGAGTGGAAAGGCCTTTCAACGGTCAGAGGGGACACTTATTTAGAGGGGAACTAATATTAGTGGTTATCTACCTAGATACTTATATAGCTCAAGTAGCTTAGGTACCGAAAGGGTTGACTTATTTCCACGCAGCGCGACAGTTGGTCTCACGGTCTGATTCTCCTCGGTCCCAGTTAGCAACCCTTGAGATCTCCCTAACCTAACCGTTGCCGCATCTTTCCTGGATACCGGATAGAGACTGTATCCTGTCAACGATTATGGCCGTTTAGTCATACGTTTTCTTTTAGCGACTCTAATAATATGTCCAGTGACATGTGATATCTTAAGATAAGTGACAATCCAGCCAAACAGCGCGCCAGGAATAAACCATAGAAACCATCAAACTCCAGATACTACCATACCGCTATTGTGTCAATGTACATTCTACTTTTTGCGCAGACCGCAGCAACCATTCTTTCGCTAGGCAATAACCAGGCTGTTCAACGCCAGACGGGCCACCTCGAGAACGCGGACGCAATTCCTATCCTCTGGCTTGCAGCTGCGCGGCGTCATCATGTAGTGCGTATGCGGCGGCAGCGTGCCCGCCGCCGCCGACGCGTCCACGAGCGCATGGCGCTTCTGGCTGCGCTCATCGAGGGCGGCGACGACCTCGCTGAGGCCCATGGCGGCCTGTGGTGGGCCGTTGCCGCTCCAGTAGCCAGCGCGCCCCCGGCGCTCCGTGGTGCCGTACACGTCGAGCCGGATCACGGCCAGCATGCAGCGGCGCCACTCGTGCGGGCCGAGCTCGGTGTCGTCGACGTGCGCAAACGCGGCGGTCTGCTGGTCGTCCCAGAGGCCGCCGCCGGCCATGTCGCGCATGGAAAAGTGGATGCAGCGCCCTTGCTGCACGGCCAGGCCGCAGTCGCGGTCAATCAGCTCGATGATGGCCGTGTAGGCGTTGCAGGCCGAGGGCACGAGCGTGGCGAGCAGCATCATGTTCTGAAAGGCCTGCATCGGCGGGGGCTTGGCGACGTCGAGGAGGTCGCAGGAGCACACCTTGCAGGCGAGGACGCCCTGGGCGACCCTGGACGCGTGTCGGGCGACGCGCATCGCCGCGGCAATGCTCCGCGGCAGGTTGGCCAGCGACTCGAGCGCCATGTAGAGCGAGGAGAGGCAGGGGCAGGAGACGCTTGGGATGGGCTGCAAGACGGCGGGGGCGCCGCCGGTGTAGCCCTCGGTTCGTGGCTGCGTAGAGCATCGTGTGTGGTGCGGCGGCGGCGGCGGCGGCGGCGAAAAGGAGGGTTCAGAGTGAAACGGCGTGTGCGATCCGACGGAGAGCTCCGGCGTTGCGCCAAAGGCGTGATGCGGGCCATCGTTGTGCGGCGGCGGCGGGGCGGACGCAAAGGCCGGGTCGAGAAAGGACAAGTCTTGGTAGGCGCACATGCTGTCGTGGGCCATGGGTAACGTGCCGTGGAAGAAGCCGTCGTGGTCGTAGCTGGGGAGGAGGTCAAACAGGGCCATGTCAGGCGTGCTGCTGGCCTGGTGGTCCAGGAAGCTCAAATCGGCGGCGTCGCCAAAGGACGGGGTGGTGCCACGCAGCGGAAAAGGCGGCATCTCGGCGCCGCCAGTCGACGGGGCGGACGACGAGGCGCTGCGGCTGCGCGGCGGGAGGCCG